AAACCTTTGCCGTTATTAATAGTTTATTGATCGCAGCCCATTGCTGAAGAGAGTAGGCCTCCTCCCCGGCCCCCTCGGGGCCCTGCTATCTGCGAAGGCCTTCTCTTCCGCATGCAGATCAATGCCACTCACGTCTGGGAAAAAGAGGTCTCTGGGCCGCTTAATCCACTTTGGAAGGAAAACGCTGAAGGCACAAGCTCAGATGAGGCACCGAGGCGGATTGGTTCAAATCAAAGCAGTGGCTTGGTGGCGGCTAGATCTGGAGATAAGAACTAGGATCTGCCTGAGGTGGGGAGGGGATGGCCCTCTTTTCTGCATCGGGGCAGGGGGGAGGGGGGGAGGGAGGGTTCTCCTTGCTCACACTACAGCCACCACCCATCCATGTAACAAATATTGATCGAGGACCTACCATGACGGTGAGCACTGTGCAAGGCCCGGATACACTGGTAAACCAGATCCTGCCTTCATGGAGCTTACTGAGCGTGGCCAGAAGGGGAGGACATTCGAGAGTCACAACATATCCAATTAAGTTACAATTTAGACAAATACCACTAAGGAGAGGGATGAGGACACCTGCTGTATCAGTTAGCTATTGCTGCATAACAAGCAGTCCCAAACTTGGATATAGTTTAAAACAACAACCATGTATTATTGCTCATGAGGCGAGGGGTTGGCGAGGCACATTCCTGAATGTGGCCTTGACTGGAAGGGTTGGGCCAATGAAGCCTCTATCTAGGTGTCCTCATCTTCCTTCAGAGGTTTGTTCTCAGGGCAGAGAAAGGGAGAAAGTGGGGGGCAGGGTGATCTTTTGAGACTTAGGTTTAGATTTTGTATGTCATCATTTCCACCACATACTGTTGGTCAAAACAAGTCTCAGGGCCAAGCAGGGGAAAGAGACTCCACCCCTAGACAGGGGGACTGCAATGACATGTGACAAGAGACAGGGATAAGGGAGGCTCCCATCCTGGTCACCAATGCCATCTGTCTGTCCGCCTTCCCTGTCCAGGAAGTCACTAAGCTAAGAACTGACTGCTCCTTTGTAACTTGAAGGCTGTGTCCAGGGGGAGAAAATGCCATCTTCTCTGGAAAGGAGAATGCTGCCAGCAAACACGCTGAATCCAAAAGGGAACGTGGCTCAAGTAACCTGTGGGTGTCACCTCAGAGGGACCCTGCTGGGATTCTGGGGCAGAAAAAGGAAAAGCTGGTGGCATCCAGGAAAAGTCTGGAGCTGAGTGAGCAGGGGCACGCAAACGTGGTTCTGACAATGGCATCGTGGTCGTGTGAGGTGCCAACGGAGGAGAAATGGGCGAGGGTGTGGGGAGTTCTCTAGTTTCTGTGCCATTTTTCTGTAACCCTACAATAATTCCAAATTAAAAGTGTAGGTGTTAGTAAAGGAGCTTGGCGCCCAGGGGTGATGGGAGGAACACCCCTGCAGCTGATGAAGGGGAGGAAGGCAGAGGTGTGGCTGGAGACCGCGTGTGCAGCCCATCTTGGCCAAGGTCAGGATCCTGGTCTTTACCCTGGAGCAGAGAGAAGCCTTTGAAGGGGGTCGGGTAGGGCAGCGCCATGAATGCCATTTGCATTTGAGACACGCTGGGTGCTGCCTGGAGAACGGGTCGGGAGGGCAATGGGCAGGGGCAGAAAGCCGGTATCTGCCCACCCCCCTGTCCCGGGGAGCAGCGGCATGCAGGGCAGGTGAGGGGAGGTAGATAGCTCAGGATCTGTTTAGGAGGCGGAACCTCAGGGTGTGGTCCTGGACTGTACCTGGGGAGAGAGAAATGAAGGATGGAGCCCAAGGTGAGACTCAGACCCTGCATGGGGCTAGGGAACCAGTAGAGCAACCATCGGAGGCAGGAGAGCATCTGTGTGAGATGCTGCCTTCCCCCCCCCCCCCCCCCCCCCCGGTCCCCTGAGCTGTCTTCTCTACCATCTGGGTCGTGTCACCCATACGTGTCACTCAAACATATTGCTTATGTTACTGTCGCCGGAGCGTGTCATCAGTGTAGCGATTGCCTAAACATGTCACCTGTGTCACTAGCACATAAACACATCTGCATAGATCACCTATGTGACGGCTACCCGAACAGCCCCACCGGAGTGCCAGCCGTGTCATTACCATCTGATTACATCACCTGGGTGGCTTCCAGCCACACGGGTCCCCTGAGCCCGAGCCGGGTTCTTCGCAGGCACTGGAGCATGTCCCCTGAACACCTGTCCCCACACAGGCACTTGGGCAGGCAGCCTCGATCCCTGACACCTATGAGTGTCACCTAAACATGTCATCTGAGGTGACTGTCACTGTCCACAGTGCCCCGTGGGGAGGCCTTTTTTTCCAGTCTAGCTGAGTTGCAAACAAAGAAAACATTTCCAGGAGGGGAGAGAGCTCCCTGCTGTTTCTGAGATCCCCGAAGGGAGGGAGGAAGAGGGAGGCAGCATCCCCCCACAAAGTTTCCCTGATGAAAAGCTCCCTGTGCTTTAAGTCTTTCATGACAGTCGGTGGACCAGATGTCAACCTCTGTGTATTCTATGTAAATGAAGGTGTTTGTTTATGCTAATGTGGGCTGGGTGGTGGGAGGACGGGGAGCTACAGAGGGGCTGGATCCGCTCAGAGAGACAGCAGCCATGGAAATCCAGGCTGGGGCCCAGGTGTGGGGTGGCGACGGGGAGTGGAGGGGGGGGCAGTGAATCACAGGAAATGGAGCTGGAAGACAAAAACATGGGGTACAGCAGAAACAGAGGAGGAAGGCGTAAATCTGAGGTTAGATTGCTCAGCAGAAGCAGATGGGCGAGAGAGAGGCTTAGCGGGAACCATGGAAAATATGTCCACAATGGGTGGGAGCGAAGAACTGGACCGGGGGGCCTCTCCCTCTTGGGGTGGCAGGGCTGGGATGGACACCCCAGCCTGTGCTCTTAGCCACTGCCCGCCCCCACCCTCCCCAGAGGGTGTCTCCCACAGGACTGTGGGGCCAGTTTGGTGGGAAGGGCCTGCTCTCCGCTTGGCATTTACTATGCATTTGTACATATGAGCTTCTTACCCCACTTTCCTGCTGCAGCAGAGAACCTCTGTTGGTGTCCCTCGTTAGAACACCATAATTGTTGGGGTTCTTTTCCCCAGCCTTACAAAGGGTTCAGCATTCTGGAGAAAGGGGCTTCGCATAGATGATTAAGGAGTTCAAGGACAAAAGATATTTTTGAAAGGCATTGGGGGATCAGAGGAGCTTCAGCTAAAGGGAACTGAAGACTTTCCCTTGACCAAGAACCTGTGCTTTTATTCTCACAATTTATCCTAAGGCAAGGTGGAAATATACACATCAAAGGGTAAGGTATCAAAGGGTACAGAGCTTTGTCAGATTGGGGAATAGCCTGCAGCTGTTCAGGTGTTTGGCCAACAGGAGGCAATAAAATGCCCTGAGCTATCTGGCAGAAAGCTGTTTTCCTATTCACGTTTGGGGGAAGTGCCATTTAGCCATTTCCAACAGGTAAACGACATATGTGGCTCACCCTTGTTGAGCCTCCCAAGTCCCATCAACCTTTTGATGGAACTCTTGTAATTACTACATGCTGGAATTTGTTCTTGGCAAACCTCTAAGAGCCAATCACGTGTCCCCACTGCTAAGCTGTGGCCAGAATAGACTCCCTGTTGGCTGCGTGACTGGACCCAGATAAGGCTGGAATTGGCTGGAGGACACACAGAGGTCCTGATGCAGCTACTACATGGCCTCTGACTGCAGGCCCTCAGGATGCAGGGATGGGAGGGGACAGGGCCTCTCCACGCAATGCCACTTTCGTGCCCACAGAGGTCTGGCCGGGACCGCATCTAGGTTAATCCTCACTGAGGTCCCAGGAAGAATCAGCCCCATACTTTAGATAAGAGAACAGAGGCTCAGAGGCTTAGCAGGAGACGGCAGGACTCACACAAGGTCACAGGGGCAGGAATTGAACTTGGCTCTCTGGACCCCGTCAGGGATCTCCCGTGCAAGAGTGGAGAAAGAGCCGCCCTGTCAGCATTTTCCACAGAGAGAGAACCATGCAGCAACTCATTCTTAGCATGGTCTGACCTGCACACCCCCTGAGGAAGGATCTAGAACAAGGATCATCAAACTACAGCCCATGGGCCAAATCCAGCTGTTGTTTTTTTAACAGCCTGTGAACTAGAATGTATTTTACTCTTTGTTTTTTTTCAATGATGGGAAATAGTAAAAACGGAAGATTTCAGGGCACAAGAAAGTATTTGAAATTCAAATGGCAATGGGAATAAATAAAGTTTTATTGGAACACAGCCCCCTCACTGATTCGCCCAGGCCCTGTCTGTAGCTACTTTTACTCTAAGCGACCTACATAGGTTGAGAACCGCTAGCAGGGTCGCCTAAGACCATCGGAAAACACAGATATTTACATTATGATTCATAACAGTAGCAAAATCACAGTTAGGAAGTAGCAACGAAAATAATTTTATGGTTGGGAGCAATGATCAGCTGCCTTGTCTCCTCGTCCTCAGACAGGAATTTTACTGCATTTCTTCTCAGATCCCAGACCTGGGCATAAAGTGGCAGTAAGGCAGCGTTCAAATTCCCCTCTTAGCTCGTGTTAGCCATTTTGTCCCCTTTAGAGCCTCAGTTTCCACATTTAGGAAACGGGAATTATGATCTGTACGTGCAGGCAGCCACGGAGGGGATGCCCTAGGCCGCAGTTCTGAGCCTGCACCACACACCAGGTGCCTCCTGGCCCGAGGCATCCCCAGGCCCCCTCGAGGTGGGCACCATTGCTGCCCAGTTCATGAAGCTGAAAGGAGCACAGACTTAATTTGGCTGCATACACCCTCCCCTCCGCCCTCTGAAGCTCTGAGCATGGGCCGCATACGGTTGGCATTCCATGAATGTGGCTCCTCCTCTCAGCCCAGCAGGAGCATTTGCTCAGCGAAGGCTGAACCATGGGGCTTGGGGGTGGCACCCTTTCAGCCCCGAGTCATGGGCCCTCACCCTGCTGCTCTCCTCCCCCAGGCTCCCCGAGGTCCGCGTCTCAGACAACGGTCCCTACGAGTGCCACGTGGGCATCTACGACCGCGCCACGAGGGAGAAGGTGGTCCTTGCATCAGGCAACATCTTCCTCAACGTCATGGGTGAGTGCAGGGCCTCGGCCCCGGCATCCCAGTGAGGAGCTGTGTGTGTGTGAGAGCACACATGTGAACATATGTGTGTGCATGTGAGTGCCTGGGTGCTCCTGCTCCCGTGCATGTGCACCGAGGAGCTGTCTCGGGCACCACCTGCTAAAATGCCTGTTGTGCTGGCAGCGGGCCCTCTCCTTTCCCACCCTCCACCTTGAGGTGTGACCGGTGTGTCCTTGCCACTGAGGACTTCCTCTCTGGACCCCCTTCTTCTACCAGCCCGGGTCCTCAGGGGCCGGCACCTTGGAGGGGCTCTGACACGCTGATGGGCACACATGAGGAAGTGAGGGAGCAGGCAGCCTCCCGCAGGGCAGCGAGCTGTCGCATACTCCGGGTCTCAGTTAGATGGGCGGGATGCAGGACGAATGGATCCTCATGGACCACCCAGACTCAGGCTCTGTGAGCCAGTGAGGACTCGGAGGGAGGGAGAGACAGGGCGCTGCGGGTCAGCTGCGAGAGCACCGTTCCAGAGCGGAAGCCGAGAGCCACACTCATAGAAGCACCCGTGGGGAAGCGCAGGGGATGGCGCTCCTCGGGGAGGACAACCAGGAGCCTCCAGGGGGTCTGAGACGTTGGCCCAGCGGGACGCACGCACACCTGCTGCAGGAAGAATGATTCTGACGCAGCCGCGTGCCCCTCCCCAGGCCTCCCGATCCTTTGCACATTGAGAGACAAAGTAGAAAGCACACTGGACTGGGTGTCGGGGCTCCTGGGTTCTGGGGTTGGCTCTGTGCCTCCATTTCTAATTTGCAAAGTGGGGATGCTAATGCTCAGGCCTGTCCCTGCCTCTGGCTGCCTGTGTCCACCCTGGTTTCCCCATTTGTAAAAACAAGGGCCTTGCTCCCAGTGGTGGCGAAGCCCCTTGAGTACAGATGTCCATGCCAGGAACTCTAGGGCTGGACACGGTCTCAGTTCCGGGCTCCAGTGCTCCCCCATTTTCTTATCAAATGGCATTTATCAGGGAAACAAAGCTTGCGGGATGCGGCAATCAATGGAAGCATAAAGGCACCGTGGGGAGCCGTAGCTTCTGGGGAAATTGAAAACCTCCAAAGGCCAGACCTCCAGGAGGACATTGATTCCCACGGAGGCTGCATGTGGAGCACTCACCTCCAGCAAGGCAGTCCGGGCCACTGGCTGGGAAAGGAAGGGCGGGCTGGGAGGGGGCAGTGAGGGGGGAGGGGGTGCAGCATGAGGAGGTTTCTGTAGGGTACCTCCTGTTACCCAGCAGCCATGCCAGCTGCCAGGCAGGCACTGTACTGTGCCCACTGAGTAGACCCAGGCTCAGAGAATGGAGGGGCTTGGCCAGGGGGGAGAGCTAACTGAGATAATCCACAGAACAGGCCAGTTTCCAGCGCCCAGTCAACAGTGTCTCTTACGGTCTCTGCCAATCATAACCATGTCAGCAAAAGGCAGGCACGATTAGGAGAAAAGTTGTGCCTCCCTCGTCTCCACCTCCATGGCTCCTTCAAATATATGTCCAGGCAGGTTTCAGACCTTAAAAGCTCCTTATTGTTGTGGCCTGTCTGTGGCATTGTGTATCTCTCTCTCTCCCTCTCTCTCTCTCTCTCTCTCTCTCTTTCTCTCTCTCTCTCTCTCTCTCTCACACACACACACACACACACACACACACACGCAGACCCTGCCTCCCGGCCAGTGGGATCTCCTTCGTGCCCCAGGAGATCCTAAGGACCATGGCAGCCAACTATGGTGCAAGATGGCCCCGCCCCTGGCTGATTTGGGGGTCTAAGGGAAGCTCCCCGGGACAGTGGGGAGACAGGGAGCCAGGCACACAGCCCAGGGCCCCCCGTGCATCATCAGCTCCGAGCAGTTCTGCTGCAGAGCCCGGCTCCCGTCTGCCCTCGCCCGTGTGCAGCCAGCGTAGACTAACGCGCCGTTTCCAGAGGCCTCTGGGTAGAGATCAAAATTCGAGAGCGGCTGTAATTTCACGCCTGTAACAGCCCCGCTAGGTGGTGGGGAAAGACATTTGGGAGCCCCATGGGGGACGCCGAGGGTTCGTGCCGCACGCCGTCATTAAAATGTTTTTATCCGAGCAGCAGATAAATCGTAAGCCAATTTCAGAGCTGCACGCTGGGTCCCGGGCCCGCATTACACACGGTCACCGGAGCGTGGCCAGGGCTCTTCTCGGGGTGCAGGGGAGCATGTTCATTGCAATGTTACAATCAATGAAACGTGGCGAGGCCCAGACACCCCCACCCGGTGCCACCAGGAGACCGACACCCGGGGCTTCTCGGCCACCATTGCCAGGCGGAGCTGTCACCACCGAGGGGGCTCTTCCCGCCCATAGCTCACAACCAGGGCCACGTTCTGTGTGCCCAACTCTGGGTGCACAATGCCAACCCACAGTTACCCTTGTGACCTCCACGAAAGCCCTCCGAGGCAGGCACTGTCACCCCCGTTTTACAGATGATGGAGCAGAGGCTCTGAAGGTTCCAGGGGCTCACCCACGTGAGGGACAGTCCCCCAGGTCTGCCGAGGTCAGAGCAACTCCGAACCCCCCAGGGAACCATCCCTACCTCTGGCCACTCAAATGCCAGAAGACGATGGGCGGGGGGAGGTGGGGTGCAGAGGGGAGAGAGGGGACCTCGCCCCGGTAAGACCGAGGCCTCCCTGGGCGCACTTGGCTTTCCAAAGCTCAGACCGTCGGGCGGGGCTCCTTTCCTTCCGGGGCCTGTAGGAGTCTGGGAGTTACACAGCTGCATGGCTTTGTCTGGAAGGACATCCAGCAGGGACCCAGGACCCATCTCTACTCCACCCCTCTGACAGGAGCGCCGGCCTCAGAGGCCAGCAGCCCCGAGTCCCCATCTAGGTGGGTTTCCACTTGGGACAAGGACGGGCTGGCATTGAACTTTCTTTCCAGGAAGGACGGTACCAGCATGTCTTTCCTGTGAAAACATGTTAGAACAGGCCCCTCTGAACATGGCTACATCGGCAGAGACGCTGGTTCCAGGTCAGCTCCCGCCGATAGGCACTGGGGTTAGGGCTTCCACAGCTCTTTTCTGGGGGAAACCATTCAGCCAAACCGAGAGCTGGGCCAGGAGGGGGCCGAGCAGGAGGCGCCGCTGTCTGGCTCTGAATCCCACACTTTCTGCTTCCAGCCACCCTCCCTGCCGCCCTCCACTGAGCATTTACTAATCCGCCAGGCACTGTGCTGAGCTCCTCGTAAGTTAACAGTTAACGCAATGAGCCAGCACAGCAGCTCCATGAGGCGGGCACACCACTCCCTCTTTGCCAGATAAGGAAGCCCAGAGACTCTGCCTCCTGCCTAGGCTGCCCTGGCGGTGCTGGTGGTGGAGCAGGGGTAGTGTCTCAACCACAGGTCATCTCTGTTCTACCGGAAGTCGCAAAGGGTCGACAGGCTTCAGGAAAACGCCCCAGCTCAGGGTTCCTGCCTCTCTTGTGCAGGCTTCCCGGTGAGGTTGGCAGATGAAGGTAGGATTTTGGAACCTGCGGCTGCAAGGGCGCCAAAGCACACCATATGCTTTCCAGACCCGGGGCTGGGGGACACGGCACCCACCCCGGGAAACAGTTGTTAATGAACTCTGCACCGCTGGGATTTTTCCAGTGTGTTTTACTGGATTTTCTTTTTATTGATTTCAGAAAGGAAGGAGAGGGATAGAAACATCTATACTAATAAAAGGGTAATATGCTAATTAGACTGGGAGACCTTCTGGACAAAGCCATGGTGGCGGGGCCAAGGCAGAGGCAGTTAAGGGCAAGCAGGATAGGAGGGGTGGGCAATTGGGGGTGATCAGGCCAGTGGGGTGAGGGAGCAGTTGGGGGCAAGCAGGCTGACGGGGGAGGAGCTGGGGGTGAGCAGGCCAGCAGGGGGTGGTAGTTGGAGGAGAGAAGGCCAGCAGGCAGAGTGATTAGGGGTGATCAAGCAGGCAGGCAGGCAGGTGAGCGGTTAGGAGCCAGCGGTCCCGGATTGTGAGAGGGATGTCTGACTGCCAGGTTAGGCCCAATCCCACAGGTAGTAGGACATCTCCCGAGGTGTCCAAGATTGGAGAGGGTGCAGGCCGAACTGAGGGACACCTCCACCCCACCTTGTGGACAAATTTTGTGCACCAGGCCACTAGTCAATAATAAGAGAGAATCATTGATTGGTTGCCTTCTGCATGCCCCTATTGGCAATTGAGCCTGCAGCCTGGGCATGGGCCCTTGACCGGAATCAAACCCAGGGCCCTTCAGTCCACAGGCTAACACTCTATCCATTGAGCCAAACCAGCTAAGGGCCTTTTTTTTCTTACTGGATTTTTATTAAGTACATCTGGTACTTTTACCCCATGTTTTCTTTTTTAAATACATTGTTTTACTGAGATAGAATTCACAGTCCAGTGGTTTTTAGCATACTCAGAGTGGTGCAATCACGTTTAGAAGATTTTCATTGCCCCCAAAGAAACCCTGTACCCATCAGCCACTGCCCTCCATCCCATATCCCCTCTCCCCAGTCTTAGGCAAACGCTAACCTACTCCCTGCCTCTGTGGATTTGCCTGGACATTGCCTGTTAATGGGGTTACACAATGTGCGTTCTTTCTTTTTTTTTTTTTTTTTAATATATTTTATTGATTTTGTACAGAGAGGAAGGGAGAGAGATAGAGAGCTAGAAACATTGATGAGAGAGAGTCATCGATCAGCTGCCTCTTGCACACCCCCTACTGGGGATGTGCCCGCAACCAAGGTACATGCCCTTGACTGGAATCGAACCCAGGTCCCTTCAGTCCCCAAGCCGATGCTCTATCCATTGAGCCAAACTGGTTTCAGCCAATGTGCGCTCTTTTGTGACTCCCATCGCTTAGCATCATGTCCTGAGGTGCGTCCATACCGGGTGGGTATCAGACGTCATTCCTGTCTGAGGCTGAGGAATAGTCCATGTGTGTCAGACGACCTTTCATTTATCCACTCACCCACCGATGGCCAGAGGGCTGTTTCCACT